AACCATTCTTATGGGAAGCCATTTCAATGTTACGGCATGTCGTACCGTGTACGTGCTGTAAGTCAGTACCGTATGTTTCCCACTCATACGATAACCCTTCTTATGGGAAGCCATTTCAATGTTACGGCATGTCGTACCGTGTACGTGCTGTAAGTCAGTACCGTATGTTTCCACTCATACGATGTTTCAGAGTCGATCCTGATACACACTCAGAAAAAAGTGCATTTCGATTATTCATGTCACCGTTGCCTGAGATCTAGAGKCTTTGGGGATTATTAGATGAATCAAAAGGAGGAAAATTCAAGTTCTACGATTCACATTTAATTGTATCATAGCTTAAGCCGTCTTCAAGTTGTATATCGTTCTGAAAAACGGTACATACGTTTTATTATATTTGATTCCCTATGAAATAAGTATGAAGGAAAAGAAAGTACTGCCATGGTTCAATGTAAAGCCGTGGGTTGATGATCGACATCTTATAAAACGAGAAATATGGTTGAGAATTTATTAAGCTAGTCTAGTGCTTTTAAAACTTCCTTCATAGCTTACCTTTACAACACAGTTCAAGAGGAAGGGTTTGAAATATAGAATTGTAAATTACTGACCAAGAAACGAGACGCCATATAGACGTTCACTGGGTTGCCTGTATCATGCACGAAGGCTTAGTACAGCTGAATAGGTTTGCAATGTTAGCCAAAAGATAATGGAATGTTTCACAGAAAAGAAAGACTTTATCAAAAAATCAAAACAATTATTTTTGTTTTCTTTGACTCTTGGTATCTAACAAAACACTAATAATTGTTTATTTTTCTTTTCTTTCTATTTTATGATATTGGAAATGTAGAATTAGGACAAATGAATTAAATAGTTGGATATTTTCAACCACAAGAGTTTATTATCATAAATGATTACAAATGAAGTATATCAGTTAAATTATCATTTTTAAGAGAAGCCATAATAAGGTTATCTTCTCCCTTAAGGTGTTCTCTACATACTATTAGAATAATTGCAGGTCACACTACTTGTGAATTTGATCTTGCGCCATGACGCAACAGGATCAAATATCCCAATGTTCTCAGTCAGAATCACCAATAAATTTTCTTATTTTTTTACTATCCTTTGTTATTTTATTATTTACTAGGGTGGCTGTTTATTTTCCTTGTCAGAAAATGCAGAAATTGCGCAATAGTATACCCAGAAGCCTTCAAGGCACCACCCACTAGTCCTTTGCGGGCATAAGATATAGAGTTGGAAGTGCTGTAAATGTTTTTGTCAGCAAACTTTGTCTGGGACGATCGCGGATATTCCTTATATGACTTATATCTTGGTCTGCTCCATTTAGTCAAGTCTCGGTTAAGACCAGTATGCCCAGATGGTTAGAGTGGATTTTCTAACAATAGATCTTGCATTCAAGATAGCGAAATTAATGGAAAGCTGAGTTTTCGATGGAGCACTAAGAAGCGCAACAGGCATCAGATTGTTGACATTTCTAGAATAGGTTTCCATTGAAGATCGACGATGCGTAGAAAGAATGGTTGGAATATATTGAGATTCATATCTACTTGGTTCGTAACTCCATTGAAGACATTTATGATTTCGCTGTACTCCCTTGAGACAT